GCCACCCCAATCCAAACCCAACCCAACCCAAAGCCAACCCAACCCAACCCAAAACCAACCCAACCCAAACCCAACCCAGTGCAATGCAAAGCCCAACTCAAGCCCAACCCAAACCAAAGCCAACTCAACTCAATCAAAGCCAACCTAACCCAAACCCAACCCAAAGCCAACCTAATTCAAAGCCAACCCAACTCAAATCCAACCCAACTCAAACCCAGCCCAATCCAACCCAAACCCAACCCAACCCAAACCCAACCCAATGCAATGGAAAGCTCAACTCAAAGCCCAACCCAACCCAAAGCCAATCCAACACAAAGCCAACCCAACCCAGCTCAATCCAACCCAACTGAAGCCCAACCTGACCTCAAGCACCAGCAGGGATGGGACACTGTCCTCACTGTCCCCACTATGAAAGCTCCCTTCCTTCCCTCTCCATCTGCCCTCCTGCAGCTCCCAGCCCTATCGCTGGTCAACTCTTTCTCCACCTTTGTTCAGGGTGTTGAGGATGCACCCAACATCACATCCAACACTGCAACCTCACACCTCCTACAGGGGAACGCATCCACCAGCACACGGATGGCACTGGCGTCCCCACGGAGCGCTCATGGCACGGGCAGAGGGCAGGCAATGGAGTCCACTGTGTTCCCATGGTGCCCCCACAGTGTATCCATGCTGTCCCCATGCTGTCCCCATGCTGTCCGCTCAGCACTGGAGCACCCTGAGCCCAGCTCACCATGTGCCACCATCACCTTGACTGGCTGCCACCCGCTGTCCCCCTGCCACCCATGAGGTCTCTCTGTGTCGCAGCCCCTCGTGCCAAGCAGTCACCCCACACAGGAGTCCCACGTCTTGGTTTTATTGTGTCCCATTAGCATCTGGCCGCCATCCCAGGTGGCTGTGCCACCAGTGGGACGTGTCCCCATGTCACCCCCCTGCGCTTGGACACCTTGTCATAGAGTGTCCATAAAACAGAGAGTGGGTCTTCAGTCCTGAATCCCCTTCTTGGGGTGTCCCCATCGCTGTCCCCTCCACAGTGGGCCTCACAGTTCCCAGGCACCAATGGGAACGAGCCCATGGCATACCAGTGGGGACAAAGGCATGGGGAACGATGGTCCCACTCGTGGGGAACACCCCCAAATCCACTCCTGATCCAACCCACTTGTGGGGATTGGTCCTGAATCCACCCCGGGGCTGCGCCAGGGCTCCCGCTGGGTCACTTGCAGGCACTATGGTGCTAGAATTGCTCCAAACCGGGGGGAAAATGTCTATAGGGCCGGGGTTAGAGGGCTCTACGCTGCGCTTCTCTCTGTGGCAACGCAAAAAGTGGGGGATGGCTGCAGTGCTGCCCCCATAGCGCCCACCACAGCCCAGAGAGCATCCCCAGCTCCAGCGTCACCCAACAGCACCGGGTGGCACAGGTGGGACACCGTGGGGACACGGCACAGCACAGCGCAGCGCCACCCTCAAACCCCCCAACCCAAGGGGATGGGGGCTGTGGGGAGGGTTATGGGGAGGGATGTGGGGAGGGATGTGGGGAGGATCCTTACGTTCGGGTGGGAGCCCTCGGCGATGGTGGACAGCGAGAAGTTGTCGTTGTGCAGCTCGGACGGAGTGCGGTATCTGCGGGGGGACGCGGGGTGAGCGCTGCGCCCCACAGCCGCTCTGGGGTTTATTTTTGAGGTCTTCATGCGGTGCAGGGGCAGGCAGGAGCCGAGGAGCCAGGCTCTGGCACGGGCTCCGCCGCTAATTACACTCAGCCCTGCCAAACGCTAATTAAGAGCTCGTTAGTGACCCGTGGGAGCACTTTCTCCTTGCTTGGCTCTGGGAGGATACGAGGCAGCGGTTGCGCGGAGTGACCCCACTGTGCCCCAAGTGTCCCCACAGAGTGGTGCCCGCAGTGGCAGATGTCACCTGCGGCCCCCAGACCCCCAGCCGTGCCCATCCAAAGGGCTGGAAGCATGAACCCACTGGAGCACGGTGACGTTCCTGCTGTCCCCGTGTCCCCAGCTGTCACCAGGCAGGGGGACACGATGACAGCTCCCCGTCCCCCCCAGGGTGACCCCGCTCACTTGGTCTTGCGCAGTTTGCTGTTCTCCGTCTTGAGCAGGTAGAGCTTCTTGGCAAAGAAGACCGTGAGCATGAAGAGCAGCAGCAGCACCAGCGCGGCCGAGCCCACGGCCACGCACAGCACCTGGAAGTCGGTGACGATGGCCTCGCAGCGCGTCCCCTTGTGCCACGTGTAGTCCTGTGTGTTGCACCTGTGAGGGGACACGGGGTCACGGCGTCACCCCTGGCACTGGGACCCACGGGAGACATCTGTGGGGGATTATGGCCGGCGAGGAAGGGATTAATGGGTGTCGCCACGTAGGGGTGACCTCCCCCTGGCCCAGCAATGGGGCTGTGGTGCCCTGAGCCCCATACAGAGCATTGCAGCGACCCACCAGGACGTCCCCATCACGTCCCCGTCACACACCCACATGCTGAGCCCTCCCCACTGCAATCCCGACGGGCGCTGCGGCCGCAGCCACATCCGCACAGCCCTGACCTAATTCCTGGAGGAAAGCCCCCGCCCGGGGGGGCACAGCCACGCTGCGGCCCTGGGGACGCGGCCCTGGCTATGGGGCAGGGAGCAAAGTCCCTCCTGTGTTACTGCTGGGGCTGGGGGAAGCTGAGCCTCACCCCTGATCCTGCACCCTCCTGTGGGTCAGAGCACCCAGGGGTCATCCCCACGTCCCCTGTGGGGATGCAGCCATGGCTAGGGGACACCCACTGGGGCTGGGGATACCCAAAGGGAAAGTGGGGTGCCCAATGGGTCTGTGGGACACCCAATGGGCTATGGGATACCCATGGTGCTACGTGATGCCCATGGGGACTATGGGACGCCCATGCAGTTGTGGGACTCACTGGGGCAACGGGACACCAGTGGTACTGTGGGACACCCATGGTGGGTATGGGACACCCATGGGGCCTATGGGACACCCATGGTGGGTATGGGACACCCATAGGTCTGTGGGACCTATTGGGCTATGGGACACCTGTGGTGCTATGGGACACCCGTGGGGGCTATGAGACACCCATGGTGGGTATGGGACACCCATGGGCTATGGGACACTCATGGTGGGTCTGGGACACCTATGGTGGGTCTGGGACACCTATGGTGGGTCTGGGACACCCATGGTGGGTATGGGACACCCATGGGCTATGGGCCACGGCCCAGCACAACCCGCCCCCACGCTGGGGCCGCCCATACCTGCAGAAGGCCCCGTGGCTCTCCACCAGGTAGCACTGGCCGCCATTGTGGCAGTAGCTGGGGACGAGGTCGCAGACGGAGCGGCAGGAGCTGTTGTGCCGCACGTATCCGTTCCGGCACTCGCTGCTGTTCTCCGGCACCGCGCGCTCCCCGGGCCTCGGCCGCGCCATGGGGCTCCCCTCCGTGGGGCTGGGGGGCGGCGGGACGCGGGGCGCAGCCGAGGCGGGTGGTCTGTAGCCGTTCTCATCCTCCAGACCGCCGTCTTCCTCCTCCTCCTCCTCTTCGTCTTCCTCCAGCTCCTCCTCCTCCTCCTCATCCCCTTCGGCGTAGAAGGAGGTGGTGGGGTAGAAATCGGCTTCGTCGAAGGGCGTGAAGTCATCGTAGAGCTCGTGGAGGCCCCACGGCGTCGCCACGCCGCCCGGCTCCCTCTGCGCCGCGCCGCCCGCCCCACGGCCGCCCCCAGGCCCTTCGCCGCCGTCGAACACATCGTAGTAGTCGACGTCGATGATCTCAGGCGGCTCCGCTGTGCCCGGGGCGGCACTGATGGGCTCCGGAGCACCCAACCACGTGCGGTCCGTGCGGCCGCGGGCCCTCTGCGCCGGGGCCGGGCTGGAGGAGGGCTGGGGGAGCTCCATGGACACCTCCGAGTCTTCGGCCACAGGAAGAAGGTTGGGTTCGGTGCCTGGGTTTGGGCTGGGGCTGGTAAGGGCGACGTTGGGGTTGGAAAGACCAAGGTTGGACGTGGGAATACCAAGGCTGGGGTTGGGGTTGGGAAGATCAAAGTTGGGGTTGGGGTTGGGAATGGGACGGTCAAGGGTGGGCCCTGGGCTGGGGAGACCGAGGTTGGGGTCAGGAAGACCGAGATTAGGATCAGGAAAGTGGAGGCTGAGGTTGGGGTCGGGAAGACTGAGGTTGGGCCCGGGGCTGGAGAGCCCAAGGCTGGGGGGACCCGGTGTCAGCCCCTCCGTGGGCCCAACGCCGGCCCTGGTGGGCTGCTCGCCGCTGCCGACCTCCTCGGGGCTGCCCAGGGCCACCGCACCGCCATCGCCATCGCCGGGCCCAGTAATGCCCAGCCGGGGGTCCTGGGCTGCGTCGGGCGAGGGGGGCACAGAGCTGGCGGCCCCCTCTCCGCTGCACCCCATGCACCCCACTGTAGGGTCGGCGGTGGCCGGGCCCCCCCCGGGCGGCTCCAGCTGCGGTCCCAATGGCTCGGTGCCGTTGATGGGGGCTGCATTCTGCAGGGGGCCCCCCCAGGCTCTGCCTGCGCTGCCGTTGCGGGGCGGCCACTCGGGCGCTGCGGGGCACAAGGACAGAGCGGTGTCACTCACGGCGTTTCCCCCCTCACCCACGGGGACGGCGGCACGGCTCTGTGACACCCGGGTGCCACGCGGCCCCGCAGGGCTCCATGCGCGCCGCTGGGGGCAGACCTGCCCCCCCCC